CGATCTCCACGCCATTCCCAGACGAGGTTGAACACAAAACAAGTTCTCTACATAATACAGAAAAACCCGTCATTGCAAATCATTTTGAAATCAGATTGATTTCATTGGGGATCACAGTCGTTGTCAAAAGACGACGCAACGATTTTATGTCCCTAACTCCAGCGTCCTGGAACTTCTTCTCCAAGAGGAACCGGACAAGAATATGATGTTCGCCAAATAAAAACGTTCATCATCCATCCTTCAAATTGCAAAAAGATAATTTTAAAAAACTCTGTAAAATCCGGATGGGTGGAACCTGATCTAAACTACATTTTATAATTGTATAAATTGGATATTTTACCACTGTAAAATATTTAATATTAACCAATCATAATCTATCTAACTAACAACCCACTTATTTGTAAGTGCTGAAATTACTTGTAATTTCAGCACCAGAGAGATTTGAATTTAACTTAGAAATTAGTTGCCTCTCCAAGAGAACTTCAGCAGCCGCAAGAAACCAGTATACCCTAGATCTATTGAGCCTAGCAGAGACTAGTTAAACACCCTGAGACTAGTAAGTATAAGAGTAAGATTAGGATCGGTATTAGACTAAGAAGTTGCACGAATCTATCCGGCCGAAAATAAGATAGCGTGACGAGCAGACGGTGTACCCTATCCGAAATTACTCCACTCGTAAATTTAGGCAATAAATTTGATAAAAAATTTATACGGCATTCTACATGTTTCAAACGAATGTTGTAGAAAGAAAAATTCGTTAGCTGACGCTGACAAGTTTTATTGCAGTTGTTAACGCTTTTCCCCAAATTGCCCCATCTTCCTGGGTTTATGAGTTAACCACATCGGTTCTAACTCACTACGACTGCACATGAATAGTTTCCTAAAAACGTTCATTCCGAAGCTTTCAAAGACCCTTGATAGGGGTTAAAGACCACAAGGGACTCAATAACAATCTTAGTCCTCCAAATATGAATCAGATGGTTGCATCAACACCTGGCTAGATGTTATGAAGCTCCATTGAACAAGAGTGATATGCAAGGAAGATCTTTGGGACCTCAACAAATCGTTTTGGCTCCGGAGTGCTGGGACACCAAGCAATTGTGAGATTGAAGAAAAAGAGCCCGCGAGAAGATTGATAAGTTATGAAGGACCTTGATAAATTAATTGAAAAGCTTATGAACGACCTTGAACTGCTGAAAAGGAGAAGAAAGTCGAGTAAAAAACTTCAGAGAGAAATTTAGCCATTGCAGCAAAATTTTTAGAAGGTGTAAAAGCGACAAACTGTAAACCATGAACGCAACTCACTTCATCTTGCCAACAGATTGTGTATCTACGCCAGACGACTTGTGTATGAAGTCACGAGAAAACTTGCTGACCAAAACGAGAACTCAAATCTGTTACAGCAATAATGGCAATTACAGTGGTATAAAATCCTGTTGATATAAGCAACAAAGTGATGTGGACAAGAAAAAATTATGTGCAACTCTTTAAGCCATCACGTATCAGCATGACCCACATATAAACAGAGCATTGAAGCTTTTAGCAATTTCATTGACGATAAGGACGCGATAGATAAGGATCAAGAGGACTATGTGAGAGAAATTACTACAAAGTTTGGCCCACGATGATTTTGCAACCTCGAAGGATACGTTAAAGCCAACTGCACTCAGTTTTGAGCTTTGTCTGTCGTGAAGGCCAGTCGAGGACGCATGACGAGTGGAGCTGACATAAATTAGAAGGGAGCATCACTAGTGACCTTCGCGACGAAAAAGTTTACGGCAGTACTTGAAGATACAATCGCATTGCCTATGGTCCTGTAGTGATTTAATAAAAATTCGAAGTCTACATGTAAAACTTTGACATAATCTGCCTTAACTCTATAGTTTGTCGGTATTTGTTTTACCAAATACTAATTTGGACCAGTTATAGGACAGTCAGAACGTTCAGAATTTTGCCCTGATACGAACCGTTTTTCTATAACTGGTTCTGGCTTTTATAGTTATTTTTAAAAAAGAAGTGAAAGAAATTTAATAATTAAGTGAGCAAAAAACAACTCAAACACATACAAAATTGGGACATTTAGTTTAACAAATTGTGATCTCAGTTGTGCATTGTTTGCACAACAACCAGAAATTTTTGATTTTGTTCGATTTCATGTCTAAACTTGCAAGTGGTTGAAATTAGATAACTGCAACCAATGTAAGCCAATCATGTAAAACAATTTAAATAAATGTTTCTGAAAATTGTCATTCACTGAAACCAATTTGGTTTGAATTAAAAACTAAAAGTTTTTGTTTTCATGTAGATTTTCAAAGCAGGTGATGTAACATTTGTGCTCAGGGTGATTTATGTGCAGACAAAATTCGTCTAGCTTTTCGGCACAATTTTTTTGTCCAGTTTTTTGGCGTAATTTTTAAAATGAGCTCCAATTTAGAAATCAGAAAAAAAATTAGTTTGCCAGAAACTTTTTCCTAAAGTTATGAGAATTTAAAAATTGCAAATTTAGTCACTTTGGGATAATTAACGATTACTTCATGATATTAAACCCTGAGTGGAAATTTATTTTATCGTAGAAATTGTTCCAAAGTGAATCGAGGCATGCTGTTTGGTCTTCTTTTTACTAGTTTGTATATGCAAACTATATCACTTTGTACTTTATACAGCGTGTGGGGATTTGTTTTCTAAAAACAAATATTAAAATTTAAAGGTCTTAAAAGGCTGTCAGAACAATCAAGGCGTCGAAATCAGGAAAAAAAAAGATTTGAAGTCAGGAAAAATAATTCACATACCAATGATTTGTAAATCATTTGAAACAATGAATTTATATATGAAGTGTAAGTTTAGTCAAACAAGGCTGCTCGTATCATGGCAAAACTTTAACCGTTCCGACTGTGCATGTAAATTTTTGCCGGCTCTTTTCCCTACCCAACCACATTTGCCTTTCTACCATTTTTCAAATGTCTTACCTGTTATTACGGCTAAACGCGTGATGTTACGAAGTAAAATGTCACGAGCAATAGTTAATTTGTTCACCTCAGCAAATTAGTTTGTTTAACAAATATCTTTAAATCATGACTACCAAAATTAGTTTTTCAAAACTGAAATTCAAATGTGGGGTGAAGTGAAAAAGAGTCCTGGTCTCGAATAGTTTTTGGTTAATGAAATATTGACACACTATGGTTTTTAAGCTGAAAATTAAGAGTCCTGTATGGAAACAATAAGTCCGATTAGCCTACCTCATTTGAGATTGAGCAATTTTGTGGTGTGGGATAGTTAGCCACGCGTAAATAATGCGCGTTAAACTTTCAGCATCAAAGTATCACAGCGCTCTTATAGTCACGTTAGTCTTTTAGTCTTTTAGGGAGCACTTCACAGCAATCTTTAAGTTAGGATAGTCTAGTGGTGAGCGCATCCCTACTGGGAGTACGAAGATACACAGATCGCTCCCCATTTTGTACTAAACATCTTTTGCATGAATTGCGAAAAGAATAGTTGTAGAAATTTGAAATTATAATTGTAAACTATTGCCTTAAATTTCAAAAATCTTGTACATCATGTTTTTCTTTAATAATTCGAATTTTTTGATTTGGTTTGGGGAAATTTTGTGTTCTCACTTAAGCATTTATCCAAAGTCACTGCATGGTAAAAGTGAGTGCGTTAAGGTGAAAGCGGCAGGATTTTTGAAATTTTAGAACGCGTTACCTTCCATTTCGTGATTGGAGATTTGGCGTTTAATATGGGAATTTTAACTTAAATATTAAAGTGTCAACAAAAATTAGTCTCAAATACAAATCCAAAACATTTTCATTGTGATAGGAAGTAGTATAACCAGGGTTGGATCTAGGGGCATAAGGTGGAGCCCTCTGTCGCTCGGTTCTCGATTCCTTGACAACCAAGAATCTAAATTTTTTAGGACTCTTTTATGACATCCAGCCTCGCCCGACCGGTCGGTCGACTCTAAATGTGCATTTTTTTGTTCGTTAATGTTCCCCAAAAACTCCCTTTTAAAAGGTTGCATACGGCGCAGAATTTTTGAGGCGAAAACTAATTTGGTTTGGTTGAGCTAGAAAAAAAAGCTGGCGAAATTTCGAAACTTTTCAAAAAAAATTTCCTTCCACTTCCCGAAAATCTTAGATCCGCCCATGATTAATGGGAAGTAATGAGAAACAATCATCGAAAAACTAGTGAGAGAAAAGGTTCCAAATGAAATGGTTACGCACAATAATTGAAAAAGGGGAAGCAGCAAACTACGTTATCATTGAAAAAACAGACGATAAGCTGCGCTGGATTAACAGAACTTGAAGATTAAGCATAGCAAACAGACAGTTTGAAAAAGAGTCAATGAACCCAATTAAATTGAAAAAAAAAACCGTCACTGACTTGTTTCTCAAAAAATCTTTGGATTTTCGGGAAAAAAATAGATGCCCTTTAAAAATTTTTGAGTTTCTATTACAATTTATGATCGGCGCTTTTTTGATACAATTAACCCAATCAGAGAAAACTGGATCAACAGATAAGTTTTTCATTTCGTTGGAAAATCTGATTATTAAATTCCATTTTCGAAACTAGAAGTCGATCACGTTTTTTGTGATCTTTTAATTTTCGCTGTTCGATAGTGGAGTTTGCCTTCCTTTTAACACAGGAAATGAACTTAACTTGAAAAAAATCAAAAGTCAAAACGCAAACGAGCAACTTTGAGCCTGAAAATATTTCAGGAGTTTTCCTGAAAAAAAAACGAAAAACAAAACTATCGTGACCTAATAAGAGTCTGAACTACTTCATCGACACATAAAAGAAACATCGGAAAACTTTTAGCACAGAAGAAAGTACTATCCAAACATCAAAACTACAACGCCCCCCCCTCCCTCCTCCTCCTTACATTGGGTTGTTTCAAATGTTTCAAAACATATCCATCTAAAAACTTGAATTTTGCATTATTTGTAACATTAAGTGAGCAGCATGATTGCAGCTGCCTGCAAAGTAATTATGTTGATGTTCACCACGAGTAAACTCTATTGGTAGAGGCTGATCAGGGAATTGTAGTTGTTCATGTTGCGCCTCATGATCTCCTGACAGGGTCCCAGGATCCTCTCGAAGGTGTCCCGGTCTATCTTAACACACTCCAGTTTGCCCTTGGCCTTGATGGTGGCAGTTCGGGTTCTGTGCAGGATAATTGCAACTTCTCCTGCAAGATAGACATTTTTTGTCATATGCTGAACAAAGCGAAAAGTTGGAATAAAAAAGAAGAGCTTTTGTTCGGCAAATGTTTCAAAAGCTGCCTGTAAGCAGTTTCTGATTGTGGATCGGTGCAAAGCCAGATATTTACTATAAATACTTATGATGAGGTCAATGAGAGTAATAATTTGCTTCAAAGTTATTCCGTATTTCGTCATCACACTGGTTGAATTACATACAAATATTAATGAGAACTGACCAAAGTACTGTCCTGGCTGCAGGATGTCCACCTGGGTCTCCTTCTTATCCTTCGCCTTCTTCTGAGTCACTTCTGCCTCTCCCTACTCAGGCAAACATAATCTTCGTTTTAGTTAAAGGTTTGTTTTGTTGTCGAATAGCCTGAGTTTCACTTTTTAACCGCTCAGAGTTTCAGCCAAAAATTTGATTGTGAATAACTTTCGCTTTTTAAGCTGTAGTTAATCGATTTTAACAGGATACTTGAGGGTGCGTTTAAATAAACTTTTCTATATCATTTTACCTCTTGAAAACCTGAGGTTTTGGAACATGTAGAGTGAAGATTAACTTTAGGCAGAACGCTTTTCCAAGTTGGGGAATTATCATGAGAATTTTCTGAAGTAGAGTTATTAAGTTGTGAATTCCTGTATCGGTACTTATGTTGCGGCAGTCACCAATGTCTTACGTTATCAACAAAACCTTTTGTTTTGCTTGTTGCCTAAAATTGAAAGGAGAGACGTTAGACAATGACTGACAGATACTATGATGAAGAAGTCCTGTCCCTCCTGGCCCTGTTCGAACACTGTGGTGCCATCTGGGTATGTTGCCGGCTGAAGTGCATCCGCCAAGGTCAGCAGCTCCCACGAGTCCAACTCCTCTGAAAAAGCACACATCAGAGCTACATTTATTGTAAGCAAGCTTCCACCTCTCGCAGTACTTTTAACTCATTTTTCGCGAGGCAGTTTTAGCGGGGCAAATAGCTCTTGAGTGAAATCATGATTTTTCATTATTTCCGCTTCTGTTGTTTTCTGGATTTGTAAGGCCTCGACAAACTATTAGAAACACTTGGGTTAAACAGGCTTACTATTTTATTGGCTATAAATAATTGCTAGTGTGCCGAAAAGTGTTTATCGGAAAGCACCAATTCTTTTTCAGTCAACTTTTAATTTTATTCAGTATGCTGACTATTAATATTAATTGATAACATTTTTTCTTGTCTTTGTTTTCATGGTTTTTATGCCTAATTTACGATGCGTTATCATTAATGTTTTTTTTCTTCGCCAAGAAACTGTTTTTTGAATGTAATGTTGAGCGTGGTCGAAAATTCGGCGCTTTAGACAGTTGTAGTAACTTAAATTTCAAGGGCATTATTGCAAAGTGAAATGAAGCTTGTCACGAAAATTTGTCACTAAAACATTTTTAGTCTAGCCGTCTAATGATGAAACCGTAAAAAAAATCTCAAAGTTCACACTACTCATATTTTTAGCCCTTTTTCTTGAGTAGATGCTTTGCCAATCTCAAAATCAGTTTTCTATCCGATGAACCTCAAGCTGTTCAAAATTAAACTCACCAAGGAAGTTGATTTTCTTGAGGAAGCTCTCATACATCTTCCTTTTTCTCAACAGGCTACCCTAAAAAAGAAAAGGGCTTTGAAGATGCGCTCCAGGCTAAAAACTTAATCTTTTCTCTTTTCTAACTAATATTTTTTCCAATAATTTTCAGCTTCAGTTCAAAGGTTTCAATGTTTGTTCAAAATTTCAACGAAAACCCTTGCTCGTGAATAACTCTCATGGTTATTTTTTACAGCAGACAAACAAGCATCCTTTTTTGAAGAACAGCATTTTAGAACATCTGAATTTTACATGCTTTTCTTACCATGAGCAACATTCGGTAGTGTTGTCTGTCGAGTCTGAATGTCTTCACTTCTTTCCCAACCACCACACACGTGGCAGAGCGGGGGGTTCCGTAGATTAGAGCCAACTCCCCGAAGTAGCCCCCCTCACTCAGGGTGCTCACTTTTTTCTTGTTCACATACACCTTGCACAAAGTTACCTTACGGGTTACAGCCTATAGCTATCAAAATGATCAGAACTGCTAGCTAAAAACATTTTGTATTTTAATTTTTTCAACTTCTTGATTCTGAGAACTTTATGCTCCAATTTTTCCTTTTTCCAGATATTTTTAGCAAAATCTATGACTTGATTGCATAAAATTTTAGATGTCAACTACTTTCTTGTGATAATCGATGATTAACTTTTGGCATGACTAAAAATGAGTTCGCCAGACAACGTTGAAAAAAGAGCTATAAAAAGTGAAAGCCAACCTTTATAAAACCAAATTTTTGTCCCAATTGCTTCCTTAACTTCAAGATGCCAAAAAACGACTCATGAAAACTTTCAGGATAATCCAGTTGAAAAATGGAAGATCGAAATATCGATCAAACTTTTTTAAGTATGGACTCAGAGCAAATATGCAATTTGCTTATGATCACCAAGCTTGCTGTTAGTTCATTTACATATATGAATACTTACATCAACGTTTCCTCTATGAATGAGGTAGAAATAGTCTCCATCGTCACCTAAAAGAATCACAATTTGCAATTATTGTGCATTGAAAAATCAATGCAAATTAAATTTTTCCCTCGTGAGACTCTCGTACGACTAATTGGGCTCCGAAAAATCATTATTTTGCTGGTCGGAAAAAGTCTTATTGCGATCATGTACAAAAGTTGATTTTTTGATACCCAAATTGTCGCGGGATTTTTTATGAAGATAAAAGGCTATAATTACATCTCGTTTTGTAATGCACCTCAAATGAACAATTCTGAGACAGTAAGGCGACAAATTGGGATAACAATAACTGACCCTGTGTGATGATCTCCTCTCCCTCGGGGAATGTGTTGGGCTCCATGCAGTCGAACACATCACTCCTGGTGGACTCATCCAGGTACTTGAACAGGATGTTGTTGTCCAGGGCCTTGTTCAACGCCTTTTTCTCCTCAGCACTCTTCGGAAACACCTAGAATAGCACAGCCACCAAAATAACTAATCACGCGCTTATAGAGGGAGAATGGGACATTTTATAACTAGCGTGTCGAAATTAAATTATCAACTGAAGTAAATATCCCGGGTTGACCAAAACTTCTTATCATACAATTTCCATATATGAAAAACTTCGTACCATACAATTTCATACATTTCCTTCTTACAGAAAATTGTATGAAATCTCTAAGATAAGAATTTTTCCGTATATCAAAATTGTATGTTAAAAACTTTTCCAAGAACGAAAAAGTTGTTTTTTTTCTAAAAAAAAATTCTGCAAAATTTCGGGTTCTATTTGTAACGGAACGCAAGTGACAAGCACCTTGGCTCATTCAAAGCACCAAAGGTTGGACTGGTTTTGCATTTATAAAGTACCTGAATTGTCTTAGGGCTGTCCTTCACAAATTAAATCACGAAAGTGACAAATTTTTAAATGTTGGCAAAGTTTTTTAACGATGATGATTTTTAAAATTTTAGATTTTTCACCGATCAGACATTGATCAAGGCATACATGACCATGCCACAGAAAAAAAACGGAGCTTTCAGCGTTTTTGAAAAAAGTTTTTGAGCAAAAAAGAAAAAAACTCTTACATTATTATATCCAGGACTACATTCTGCACAAAAAAAAATTAATTTTGCATGCAAATTTTTTTTGAAAATGTTTGTTTGAGTACAAAAATCTATTTGCGGCTGGAAAAAACCAAAAAAATTTTTGGGGCAATTTCAAAATTACTTGGAAAAAAATTGGGGTGTCGCGATTAAAAAAATGTTAGTCATAAAATTCGATATACGAGAAATGTATGATAAGCATTTTTTTTTCAAAAAAAAACCTCAATTTTTTCATCACCACTGTTTTTTTTAATCAAACAGCAGTAGAATTGAGTTTATATCTTTTTTCAACCATTTTTTCAAATTTATTACAAGCATTTTTCTATACACTTGATGTAAGGAATTGTATGATAAGCATTTTCAGTGTGTGGAGGTCAAACTGGGATAGTACTTCAGTCCGACATCCACGAAAAAATGAAATAAATAAAACATAAATTTCGGCTCTATTTCACTTTCTCAATTTCAATTTTTCAATTTCTTGTACGTGTTACTACGGCTAAAAGATTAGTTTTATGACATAAAGTATGAAGAAAAATTTTTTAAACAATACTGTTTTTTCGCCTTGCACAATTTCATTGCATTATGACAGCGTCAAATAAGTTTTTCTAATTTGAATTTCAAATCTGGGGTTGGGGTGGAAAAGAAGCAAAGTACTCATCAATAGCCTAATAAAAGTTTCGTGGTCTCAGAATTTTGATAATTGTTCCGACCATTCAAAGTTTGACATAGGACGCGGGTTTTAGATACTCCAGAACGAGTTCGGGATCTTTTCGGCTCTTTAACTATTTCGCCACTTTCAATTTCATTTTTAAAACTGTCGTAATTCAAAGAAACTTCGCAATGTGGAAATTCTTAAAATTGTGTAGATTTTTTCTTTATACATCGTAACATCACACGTTTAGCTAAAATAAACAGTAAAACAACTTCAAAATTTTGATGAGTGTAGTTGAAAAAAGACCGCTTTTATTCGTGCTTGGGAATCTCGAAACAAATGTCTAGAAATATGTTTTTGCAGTTTTGAGAATAATTGACTTGATTTTTTTGGCTATTAACACTCAAGTTAAGCGACGAGCAGAAATTTTTAACAAACAGCGATGACATTGTTTGAAACATAAAATGTTATTAAATAAGTTTTAAAAGGGTATTATCACCTGTACGTTTGTTGACCGCATATTTAATTTCTTTGAAAACGTCCCGCAAAAATCTTGCATCAACTATCGCCAACATAAAATCACGTACTTTTTCAAGCCGGTCGCCATTGAAACACTTGTTGGTATCGGTTAAACTAGCAGAGATTTTATTTGAAACATAGAGGCAAACTTCATCAAAAACGCAGCTTCTCCCATTTACGATAAAGAGCCTAATGTTTTAGAAATGTCATAATCCAATGAAACAAAGTCCATTCAAATGAGCCCATTCGGAAGGCGTGTCAATATCATGTTGTTTATTTTCAGGTGTCGAACTTTAAGTCGTCGCAGAAGAAAAAGTGAACACTCTGAACAATTTTGTCGGGGAGATCGTCTATGAAAAACAAGAAAAATAGGGGACTCAGCACGCTAACCCTGAGGTTTTTTTTATAACATCAGATAGAAAACTATCCAACTTAAGGCATTGCGTCTATCATCAAGGTAAGATAAAAAACAGTTTAGTAAAATCCAAATCAAAGCCAAGCCCACAAAGTTTTGCCAATAGTAAATGATGGGGCACCGAATCAAATGCTTTTTAATATCAAAATAGATAGATAAACAAAGAAGTTCATTGTCAAGGCAGTTTTGAGGCAGTGATCGAATATACTGGAAACAATGGTTTGTGTTTTGAGTATTAAAACTTTCTACGTAAATATTTTTATCAATATCAATAGAGTCAATCAGATCAGAATTGATGATCAATTGCTTATGAGATACATTTAATTTCTGATGTTCTTTAAGTTTTCTCTCCTTTGAAGCACGCAAATATATGAGATGGTTTATGTAAGAGGAATATCAAAGTGTCCCTATTGAACGTTTTTGGCGCTTACCTTTCAAAGAGGCTATCAGAGCTGCGTTAAATAGTGGATACTTATAAGAAGAAAAATTAGGGATTGTTGGGTTACTGAAAGAGTGCTCTAAATTCTCTAGGTTTGTATCAAATAGTTCCTTGGAGAAAGTTGATTTTGAAATAGTATCAATATTAATGACAGGCTTGATGGAAGGACAACTTTCAATTTGAACATTGACAGGAAATTTATCCGACAAGCAATTGTTTGGGATACTAAATGGAATAGAATCAACCGTGCCAGAATTAATATCAAAGCAGTTTTCCTTTGAGTTGGGCATTTCTGAACTCATTCAGGCCAGATTCTTCGATCATAACTAAAAAATCGTTCAATACTGTTGTTCCATTTTTTTGCCAAATTGTACCAGTTTGGTTGAAATTGCCCAAAATGAAAATCTCTAAATACGATCCTTAGCTGTAAGATGTAGTATACGTTTTAAAAGAGTGATGTTCAGCTGTAGGACATGCCGTAATGGTAATATTTTGATTCGTGAGAACGGGAATTATAATACGGATTGTAGATTAAGAAAAGAACAGTTGATGATATTACACATGCGACAGAGAATCTAAAGTCGGGAATAGAAAGGTCACCAAAAATAAATCAATTCTCCGATATAGTTAAAACTCCGCCATGTTCATCCTAACTTCTGTCACGTTTTGATTCAATTTGGTAGGAATATCTCAGAGAAAACTTGAACTCAACATTTCGTTGAATAACCAAGTGGCGGTAAGAAAAACGATATAAATGTTGTTGATAATTAATGACTGGATGAGATTTTGTCGTTTATCTTGGATGCAAAGTGATTGGAATTTCAGAAGTATGCTAATTATGTTTCCTAGTCAAGGTGCAAGTTCAATATTGGCGGCATGACTTTTATGAAACAGCTGTGGTTGTTTATTTTGGAAATCTTTTTTCTTCTTTCCTTCCGCGTTAATCATTTTGTATGTTTTGGCAAGAGGTTTTTTTTCGATCTCCCAGTCGGAACCTGAAAATTTTAAATGTAAACAGGAAAGCGAAGGTCCTTCAGACCGTTGCCCCTGGTGTAACAACGATCCATAAAGTGAGAACTATTCGTCGGAATAAATAATGGGCGGCGTTTGCCGCGTTCATCTATGGCTGTGCAAGACCTCCTAAGTCTTTGAACTGATGTGATCTTATTTTTTTTAAGTTTTATGCCCAACTGCTGCATGATTACCTTAAGTACGTTGGCGTCGAATTCGACGCGAGTATCCCTGAAGTTGTTACCCAATTCTGGGACTCCGTTCAATTCAAAGTGTTTCAGATTGACCGATTTTTCAACTTGTATCATAGTGTTTACCGTGCCAGTAGTTAATACTTTGCAATATGAAGTTGTCATTGAATGCTTTTATTATATTTTCTTTGATTTGATAGTGTGTTTGCAATATAATTTAGTATTTTAGGTAGATTTCATGTACAATTCATGTTGTCAACAAGATAAATAGCCTGGCTGAACATGGTAAACAACTTAGCTTCGTGTTTGAAAAGAGTTGTCACAAACCCAAAGACAATTTTTGATTTTGCCCATCCATGCAAAATTGTAGAAGACAGTAAAACACACGCACCATGAGACCAATTTCGCATTTCTCTTACCCAATAGCTGTAGCAACATCGTGTTTCAAGGAGTATGTAAAACTACTTAATAAGTTTATCACAACAATTATGCTAAACCACTCTATAAAATTTGTTTAGTATAAAGTTGATGCTCCCGTCTGTCGCAGAAGAAAGAACGAGGAAAATGAATAAAATGAAATATGGAAACAAAAAAAAAACACATCCAACAATGTTTGTTATTAAGCCCTCGAGTACAGTTGAATTCGTTCATTCAAATGCCAGCCACTAAAATACTTTTTGCTAATTGCCAAGCTTCAGCAATCCATACACTAAGTTTGGCAGTTTTTAGAGAGTGGCAAAAATATGAGTTAGAAAAGTCTTTATGAGTGGATTCCTAATATAACACACGCGTTTGCTTGAAAAATAAGCGAAGTTATTCTCACAATTCCTCTTAGACCGATCTCGATAAGTTTTCATGTTCAATAAAATTTTGCATGTTGAACTAACTAATTATGTGAATAAACTTGTTCACCCCAATAATTAAATGCGGGGGAAATTGGAAATACAGCTAACAATTTTCCTCGATTTCTTTTTTTTTACTTCTTTGTGTAGTTATTGTTCCAAATTTCGAAGAAAACGGAAAGTTTTTGCTTGGGGTGGTTTTTTTATTTGATCAATTTTCGGCGTTTGATTTACGGGAGTTTGAAAATTGCCAATTTGACAATGTGTGGACTAGTTTATGCGCGTTTTGCAGCTTTTATTCATAACACTGAAAGCGTAACGCAAATTATTTATGCGTGGCGTATTATATCGCACAAAAAATCGTTCCAATTTGAACTCAGGCTGGCTAATCGGTCGTATTAAGTTCTTACGAACCAAATTTTTTACTTAATTTTTGATTTTGTCCAAAATTTATAGTTTTTCAAAATTTTCTTTTCACAAAAAACTATTTGATATTGATTACGGGGCAGTCGGAAAATTCAGGGTTTTGCACTGGCATACTAGCAGTCTTGTTACCATTATACGAGAGTTTCCCTTCTTAATTATGTTTTTCGGCTATGTAGCAGTATTTAGACAACCGCGTATTCATACTCGTCAGTAAGCAGATAACTACTTTGTCAACCACTCAAAAGCGAGACAAGGAAAAAATCATCAATTAAGAATTATTATTGTTGTAGGCTTGCTTTCTCATCTCGATTCTGACTGTTTAAAAATTTATTTTCTGCTCACCCAACGACTCTCGGATTCGATCTACGAGCCTACTATGGGCTAGAGATTATAAATCTCACTCACCAACCACTCAGCCACAAATAAAGCACAGAATAGATGCTATCAATTTTCGACTCATTGCCAGTTCCCCCCCCCCCCCCCGATTTCAAGTTCAATTTTGAAAAAATTATTCAACGTTGTCATAATGCAAAGAAATTTGGCGTAGTGAACAAATCGACAACTGTGAACAGATTTTTTTTCTTCACACTTTACAGCGTAACATCAGGGCATTTAGCCATAATAACACATAAAACAAACATAAAACTCGGTATTTTGAGAAAGGAAATAGAAATGAGCCCAATTTTTCAATGCTAGATTGTGATTTTAGCAAATGCGCCATCAAACATGTGAACATTTTCTAGTTTCAATGAACTTATTTATTTGCAAGTAAAGTTAGAAAAATGTATGTTCGTAGTAAAACACTACCTTTTTGCTAGCTTAAGATAAACAAACAATAGTGAGAGGAGATTCAAAAGAGCCAATCCGATTTTTGAGACTGTTCGAATTTTCTACTCTTTTCCACCTCCCTCCCCCTCATTTGATTTTCAACTTTTGGCTCTTTTCCAGTCCCCCCTTTCATAATACCGAGTTTTATATTTGTTTTACGTGTTTTTGCGACTAAATGCGTGATGTTACGCTGTAAAGTATGAAGAACAAATCATTGCATTGTGACAACGTTAGATAGACTTTTCAAAATTGAATTTGAAAGGGGGGAAAACTGGAAAAGAGCCCAATTTTTAAAAGCTACTATTACATTGTCACAATGTAATGAAACTTTGCATGATGAACAACTTAACTATTCTGAACACTTTTGTTCTCACTTCAAAACATCACGCATTCAGCCTTAATAACACGTAAGATAATTGCGAAAATTGAAAATTAAAAATGGGGGGAGTGGAAAGAGCCCAATTTCCCCCCCCCCCCAACATATCAAGTTTTTCAATTTTTGAAATGGCCTTACATGTTATTAAGACTGAATGCATGAAATAATCCGGCTTCAAAATCATTAAAAATTGATTGTTAGCACAATGGGCTCTTTGTCCTTTTTTTTCCACCATGCGAAAAAATATAAGTAATTTTTTGGTTTGCATTGTCGGAATGTTCCGAAAAAGACTCTTTAACAATTCTCCCCAATTTAAATTTTCCAATGTTTCAATTATCTTACGTGTTATTATGGCTGACCGCGTGATGTTACGAAGAACAGTATGAAGAACAACTGTTTTCACAATAGTTACTTTTTTCACCATGTCAAATTTCGTTACACTCTGACAACGTAAAATTAGTTTTTCAATACTGAAATTCAAATGTGAGGTCAGTGAGTGGAAAAGACTCCCGAAGAATTGATGGCTTATGTGAAGTGGAGGAAAAAAGGAAAAGGAACCGTTAATTAATTCATATCTTGCGTTAATAGACGCAAAACTTATCATTTTGTGATTGCCCGGGTTGATCAAAAATGCTTATCCTACAATTTCCATATATGAAAAAATGCTTATCCTACAATTTCCTACAGTTTCATAGACTCAGAAAACTGCACAAAAACTCTAGAACAAGCATTTTTTCCTATATTGAAAATGTAGGATAAACCTTTTTTCATATATGGAAATTGTAGGATAAACATTTTTTCATATATGGAAATTGTAAGATAAGCATTTTTTCATATATGGAAATTGTAAGATAAGCAGGCTCTTTTTCCTTTCCTTTTCCTTCAATATATTAGTGTAACGAGTGGTTTTACGAGGTTGAGTATGAAGACCAAATATGTTTGTGGTGGCCTTATTAGTCTGTAACAATCGAACAATGTGGTCAATAAATTTACATGTAAGAATTTGCAGGTGGTGGGAAAAGGAAAAAAAGCCGATAAGCATTTTTTCTTATATGGAAATTGTACGACAAGCATTTTTTCATATATGGAAATTGTAAGATAAGCATTTTTTGAAAACTCAAATGAGGCTCAATTAGCGTTTTAACTTACCCCATAAGACGTGCAATCTCTGAACGGCAATTTTCCATACATTTGATGCAGGCAATAAGGCTCTTTTTCCTTCCCCCTCCCCCCACGTGCAATTTTTTTTATTTGAGGTTATTGTTCACTTTATCCGATTGTCATGAAAATTGACACGCAGACTAATTAGGCCATGCAAACATATTTGGTCATCATAATTAACTTAATAAAACCACGCGTTACACCATAAAGTTGATGCTCAAGTGAGGTGGGGGGGGGAAGAGCCGGCAATTGTATGATAGGCATTTTCGGTGTGGGGAAATGTAAGATAAGCATTTTCGGTTTATGGAGGTAGGCCCGGGTGGTTTCTCATTGCGTGGTGGTGGAGTTGGGGGGGGGGGGTAATGCTGTGGAATGATGACTTGTAACAACTTCATATTTTAACGAAGTCCTGATCTTTTTACCTTCTTCTCGAATTTTGCAATGTCGTCCTCAGTGACCGCTTCTGAGGACACTCCTCCCCTCCTGAGACTGCCCTGCTGCAGACGGGGGGACAACTCCATGTCGGATGCAGACGAATCCGGTCGGGGGGACTTGCCACTCGACTTCTTTTCCTTTTTTGGAGACATCGTTTTATAAGAGGCTGCAACAATAACAACAGTAACTCCAAGTTCAAAAATCCGCCTATCAAATTAGACGAAGTTGAGTATGATGCCAAGCTATTTTTCTGCTGATTTGATTCACACCAACAATATTGATAATTCGTGAAGTCACTTTCAGGGTAATAATAAGAAGTGAAGTCACTTCGCCGATTGACTATCTTGACTGCATGTGCTAAAATTATTCTATATCATGGCGAAAATTTTCTTCCCAGTACAAAAATAACCTATGCAAGCTGTAACTAAAGGTCCATTGTAATTATACCATGAGATAAATTATACTATAAATTTTGTGAAATATAAGAGGCTAAAATTTCATCCCAGGAGGAGAACTTACTTGTGATTTAATCGAAATTACCTGTGAAGTGTCTTAAAAATTGTAAAGTTTCTTGATACAAGAATGAAAAAAGAGAGTTAAATGTGCGCACGACCTATGCATAATATTTTGAAAACAAAACCCCATATGATCGGGCTATATTTCAAGCTGGAAAGGAAATTTAAACTAAGATCCAATTATAAGATGGTCCATAAATGTATTATAAAAAAAATGGAACCATATCTAGCTATTTTAGTCACTATCAATAACGAATAAAAATGACTTTGCCGTTTTTGACATTTGATGCCTACGCGGAAACAAGCCACGGCTTCATTTCACGCAGAATCTGAGAAATGGAACAGTTCATTGTGAATTTTCTATCAAGTAGGGAAGAAAAGGGATAATCCAAAAAAATGGATAATCTAAAATTTTTAAATACTCATTGCCCTTTTGCCCTTTTCTAGGTCGCCAAATTTTGTTTGAGCTCTTCTAAAAGACTAGAAAGGCCGCATCTTCGCGACCCTCTCAACCCTTACCCCCAACCTAGCCATTTTCCATTTTCAATGTAGTATGAAAGGCGATAAAGGCTAATAGCGCTAGATTGACATGTAAGTACATGGCGGACAAATGTGTTCAGAGCCATTATTTTGTTCAACGTGCAAAAATGCATCTCCTTGCGCGAGCGCTTCGTGTCTCTCTTTTCCGGTGCCTTTCCTTTATTTTAGCTGACTTCTCATTATCGATAAAAAATAATGATTATTGCAAAATGCATAAGAATAATGCATTTGATTGATTGATTGATTGATCTTGAAACTTGTAATTTCAATTATTTTTTGGATTTCTTTGTCGACATTGACCATTAAGTTAAAATTTAGGGAAAAAGTTTAATTTATTTTTCAAATTGAGATGAATCTCCAAATTAATCTAGATTGCTTCCGTGTAGAAATTTTCAAACGACTAGATCAGTTTCATTCGAAGAAAGGCGCTTCCTGAACGTGGAGCTGGCAAACAAACGAAAAAGAGTGTGGGCAACAACCATTCCAATCCCCCACTTCGACGCCCTCTTTTGTTTTCTACTAATGTGCAGAGTTGAACAAAATCCAAGATCCACTAATTACAAACGCAAGCCTGGTAATGCTCTAATCCGCGGCTCTCACTGCGGCTTTAACAGCAGATGCGCAGAATAATTATACGGCTAAACTCCTATATTACCATATAACCTTATTTCTTAAAGATGCTTATGCACATTTCAGTCAACACACATAAGGCTTGATCACTCATATCCGACTCACTACTCTGTTCACTTCAGAAAAGTTTCAATAAAAGTAACCACAACCACGCATTTTCTTCCCTGTTGTACGAAGGAGGTCATCATTTAGAAGCACTGTCTAACCCCTACAGCTCCAGCTTCAGCTCCATGTATAAGAAGTAGAAATTCATTGTATCAATACAGGGGATAGGTTTCCCAATGTATTAAGATAGGGAATGGTAAGGTTTCAGTGTGATGGTAAGAAAATGGTAAGAAAAACGGTATTTTTTGGATTTGTTGTGGAAATGTCTAGTTTTTTGCAAACATCTCAGCATGCGTTATGTTATTTTTGAGTATTACATGTAGATTGTGTAATGAATAGATTATGTTTATTGGTTCATGGTAAGTCCATGGTAAGATATGCAAAAACTTGGAAATGTTTATAAAATTTGATTTAATAACTATTTTTTTGATGACCCTTTTTTTTGAAACTTAACTCAATCTAGCTTGAACTATGCTGAAACCTACTGAAACCTTTTAAGAAATTTCAAGTTTTTGGGAAAAATTGCAGATATCTCAAGGTTTTGAAAATCTTTTTGTTGCTTCTGTTCTAATTTAAAAAAATATGGATATAATTAGAGTTTAAAATTAAGTTCAAATTGTATTTTAATTGGCATCATGTTGAGACACTGATGCAAAACTTTGAATGGAAATATGGAGTTTTCCACAATTTTCTCTCAAAATTTTCAAATACGATAAAGTTTACCCTAATTTTAGCTAAAAAATGGTTTATATAATGCTCTGAACACATAAAGTTCATATTAGCTGTATCAATATTGATACTTCCAATTTCTCGGCAAAATAAAATATTTAATCGTAATTTTCGAGAAAGTAAAAATTAATCAAATCTATCCAAATTTTCCATTTTTAACCTTTCATTTGTGTAATTAACTGGTTTTTTGTTCAATTCAAGGAGAATTCACCTTAGAATTTCAATTCAATTGAACAATAAGAGCAATATTCCTTGAAATTTCTAGATCAAACTCCATGATCCAGCTCCTCCTCAGTTTTTTCTCAAAGAATAAACCAAACTTGTACAAAAGTTACAACTTCTGAGACGTTTTTAACCTTATTATTAACAATAAGTTCCAGATCATTGATAAAAAATGAACATTTTCCTGCTAAAAATGACTAAAAATGGGGTATATTTCTCTTAACAGTATATTAGATTGTATGATATTCAACAAAATCTTCTTCAAAACTGATGATTATCTCTCGGGTGCTTCTACAACATAATTTTCATGGTTTTCCCGTAGAAACCTTCTATGTCTTAAGCATATTCTTGCTTTCTGCTTATTGCATGTTTTCGCTATTGAACTCAATTTTCAAAAAATTTTGGTAAGAACTGGAGAATTTAGGAGAACATAGTATCAATTGAACGAACAATTTGTGGGCAGAGATAAAATTAGAACTGATAACGTCTATTTATTACCATCTAATTTGTACTTGTTCTCATTTAGGTTCCCTTGTTTAATTGCTACAGCAAACTATTTCAGCAAAAACCTAACTTTTGAGATCATTAACTATCTTTTTTCTGGCAAAATAGTTTGTAATTCGCTTTTTGTACTTGATTTTTGTCGGAAGTTTTCTCAAAAATGTCGAAGTGAGAAAAAATTGCTGCTATTTTAAGCATTCGAAAGCACATGTAAAATTTGAGAATATAAAGGTGTAAGTTTAGGTTGAGTTCTAACATCCAGTTACAAGATGGTCCATAAATGTATTATAATAAAAATAGAACCATGTCAAGCTATTTTAGTCACGATCAATAACGAACAAAAAAATAACCTTGCCGTTTTTGACACCTGATGCCTACGCTGAAACAAGCCACGGCTTCATTTCATGCCGAACCTGAGAAATCGAACAGTTCATTGTGAATTTTCTATCAAGTAGGGAAGAAAAGGGATAATCCAAAAAAAGGATAATCTAAAATTTTTAAATACTCATTGCCCTTTTGCCCTTTTCTAGCTCGCCAAAGTTTGTTTGAGCTCTTCTAAAAGACTAGAAAAGCCGCATCTTCGCGACTCTCTCAACCCTTACCCCAATCTAACCTTTTTCTATTTTTAATGTAGTATGAAAGGCGATAATGACTAGCAGTGCTAGATTGACATGTAAGTACATGGCGGACAAATGTGTTCAGAGCCATTATTTTGTTCAACGTGCAAAAAGCATCTCCTTGCACGAGCGCTTCATATTTTTCGTTTCCGGTGTCTCTCCTTTATTTTAGCTGATTTCTCATTATCGATAAAAAATAATGAATATTGCAAAATGCATAAGAATAGTGCATTTGATTGATTGGTTGTTTGATCTTGAAACTTGTAATTTCAATTTTTTTTTGGATTTCTTAGTCGACATTGATCATTTAGTTAAAATTTAGGCACAAACTTTAATTTATTTTTCAAATTGAGATGAACCTTCAAATTAATCTAGATTGCTTCCGTGTAGAATATTTTCAAACGACTATATCAGTTTCATTCGAAAAAAGGCGCTTCCTGAACGTGGAGCTGGCAAACAAACGAAAAAGAGTATGGACAACAACCATTCCAATCCCCCACTTCGACGCCCTCTTTTGTTTTCTACTAATGTGCAGAGATGAACAAAATCCAGGATCCACTAATCACAAACGCAAGCCTGGTAATGCTCTAATCCGCGGCTCTCACTGCGGTTATAACAGCAGATGCGCAGAATAATTATACGGCTAAACTCCTATATTACCATATAACCTTATTTCTTAAAAATGCTTATGCACATTTCAGTCAACACACATCAGGCTTGATCTACTCATATCCCACTCACTACTCTGTTCACTTCAGAAAAGTTATTAACAAAAGTAACCACAACCACGCATTTTTTCCCCGCTGTTAGAAAGAGGTCATGATTTAGAAGCACTGTGTAACCCCTACAGCTCCAGTCCCCAATTTCAATTCGTCTCCGAAGCCACTTTCATTACAAGATAAACTATTGGGCCCACTAGATCTGAGCAAAACCCCGAGCAACCGCCCACAAAAAAAACTATCATACCCCAAGACTCCTGGAAAACAATCCCCGCTTACCCCTATGAAATTGAACTGGCATTAATGATGCGGCTCTTGAGATTCGCAGTCATCTGGAAAAATTTCTTAACCTAGCTCTAACTGCTAAGCTAGCGAGCTGTAATATTATCGGCAGCAACAAGTGTAGTAGAAGAGTGCGGTAGAGTGGGGGGGTGGTTGCTGACCCCCATGTATTAACATAGACTTTAGAGTATCCGGTCAGTAACCTATGTATTAAGATAGCGAAAAGATTTCCCTATGTATTAAGATAGAAAATAAGTTTCCTACGTATTAAGATGGTAAGGTTTCAGATGGTAAGTTTCAGAAAAATTTTTGGCGCCCGATCTTACCATGTTTTAAGATAGTGTTTAGATTTCACATGTATTAGGATAGTGTATAGATATCCCTATGTATAAGAGTTATAAATTCATTGTATTAACATAGGGAATAAGTTTCCCAATAAATTGAGATAGGAAATGGTAAGGTTTCAGTGTGATGGTAAGAAAATGTTAAGAAAAACGGTATTTTTTGGATTTTGTGTGGTAATGTCTAGTTTTTTCGCAAACATCTCAGCATGCGTTATGTATTTTTTGTTTAATACATGTAGATTGTGTAATGAAGAGATTATGTTTATTGGTTCATGGTAAGTCCATGGTAAGACGTGCAAAAATTTAGAAATCTTTATAAAGAAATGATATTTTTTCAAAAAATTTCAAAACACGATAAGACTTGATATAATTTGACTTAAAAACTATCTTTAGATGACTTTTTTTTTAAACTTAACTCAATCTAGCTTGAACTATGCTGAAACCTACTGAAACCTTTTAAGAAATTTCAAGTTTTTGGGAAAAATTGCAGATATCTCAAGAATTTGGCAAGTTTTTGTTGCTTCTGATCTAATTTAAAAAATTATGGATATGTTTAGAGCTTAAAAATAAGTTCAAATTGAATTTGAATTGGCATCATGTTGAGACACTGATACAAAACTTTGAATGGAAATATGGAGTTTTCCGCAATTCTCTCTCATAATAATCAAATACGATAAAACTTACCCTAATTTTAGATAAAAATTGGTTTATATAATACTCTGAACACATAAAGCTCAAATTAGCTAAATCAATATTGATACTTCCAATTTCTCGGGAAAATAAGGTAATTAATCGTATTTTTCGAGGAAGTGAATAATGGAATCTACCCAGAGTTTTCCATTTTTAACCTTTCATTTGTGTAATTAACTGGTACCTTAAAGATGCTTATGCA